CGGGCGGCGCATTCGATGTCGTCGGCGCGCTGCCCCGCGGTGAGCCCCGCCGCTCGTAGCGACGGCCGCAGGTCGGCCCGGTGCAGCGCGCCCTGGCCGCAGACTGAAGAACGGCCACGAGGGGTGTGTGATTTGCGGTGCGGGGTGTGAGGGGGCAGCGTCTTTGTGTGTGCGCGCGCGCGCCGCTGCCGCTCGTGGTTTGAACTGCCCGCTGTCCCTGCCCTGTGCGAGAGAGGAAGATGGGAGGTCGGCCTTGAGAGCTTACGGGGGGTCTCCCCGGACCCCGCGCCAGGGAGATGGGACAGCGAAGGAGGAGCACGAGCACGTATGGGAGGGTTCAGTAATGCGTCACGCTGCCCGGCGTTTCTCACTTTCCGGGACAGCCCCGCCCTTTCGAGGCGGGAAAGTGACGGCTACCCCGTACGCGCCTGCCGCTCTACTCGTCGCCGACCGCCCATCCCCCCTCCTCGTTCCCCCCTCGACTGCTCCGGACCCCGACAAGCCGCCCGACGTTGGGCCTCTGCCCCGCACGCTCCCGCCCCTCTGCCCCTCACACACACCCAGGCCCGACATGCACATACAAGACAAACCCGGCGTCCTGCTCTCAAAAGAAAAGAAAAAATGGTTCTTCACGCCCCGGGGGGGGGCCTGCGGCCACTAAGGTTGCCAAGCTCTGCTCGCTTGTGCACTGCAGCTGCCGCATCGGCACCGCGCAACAGCTACCGACGGCCGGTATCTCGCCGGCATGCTCATTCAGAGCCCGCAGAGCCCGCGCTCCAAGTCTCCAAAGAGCCCTCGCGGGATCCTCAAAAAGTCGCCGACTCCCCCAGCAGCCCCGCTGCCAAAGGCGGTGGAGAGAACGCTGTCGCTCTCCGAGACTTCCAACCACAGCGAGTCTTCCAACCTCTCCGAGTGCTCGAGCAGCTCGCCGCGCCGCCGCCGCAGGGCAATCATCCTCGACCGGCCATCCGCCGGGAGCGAGACCGAGTCCTCCGATTATGAGCTGATAGATGGACTCGCGAGCGCTGCGGCGGCGCTGAAGGCGGCCGTCGAGGCGGAGGACGTCGAGGCGGCGCGCGCGCTGGTGCACGAGCACCCCGCCGCCGTCAAGCAGTGGCGGGAGTGCCGCACGCTGCTGCACGAGGCGGCCTCCGACGGCAACCTCTCCCTCATTAGCCTGCTGCTCGGCGCGGGCGCGCCCCTGTGGCGGGCGGACGAGGAGGGGCAGACGGCGCTGCACGCGGCGTGCGCCTCCGAGCAGGTCGAGGCGGCGCGGCTGCTGTCGGATCAGACGCCGTGCTGGGAGCTGACGGTAGAAGACAACTACCAGATGACCCCTCTCCACCTCGCGAC